AAAAAAAAAAAAAAAAAAAAAAAAAAAAAAAAAAAAAAAAAAACAGTGGTACTGCTGCCCATCAACAAATACACTATCAGCTGTCTCATGCATCACTTAAAGGCAATAGAATCACTGGAAATTAATCTCATGGTTGTCTGATACCACCATTAAGATCTTAACTGGTTTGGGTCCATCTTTGTGGGTGGGGTTATCAATAAAAAAATATCAAACACATACGCACCACGCTGCATCCCTTACTACTGGAATAATGGTACTTTCAATACACCTGTCAGGTACTTCACAGACAAGACGCTCACAAATTCTACACCAGATAAAGTCTTGATTGGTGAGAGTAGTAAAACTGGGAAGTAATACTGACCATATCCAGTCTGAAAAACAAACACATGACTGTACTAATGAATTCCTTTTTTCTTGCTCTGTATTTATAATGAAGTCTAAAAAGTTACTTTTTTGCTAATTTAAAAATATTATAACAGAGGACATGAAATTCTTGAGGGTTTAAATGCTTCAGAAGTCATATTTTCAAAAACTAAGTTATTGCCAATTCCAATTTCCAACCAGAAACTTACTTATTTGTTTGAGAACTAGCATGTCCTATTTCATTAAAATGGCTATAATTGTTCTACCCTGCAGCTGCACAACACTGGTATTATATGTTTCTTTAGTTGTAGAACATGTAATTTGTTTTTTCTTACCTGCACTACCAGTGATGCACAATTTCCCTAACAACTGACTGAAGAAAGACAGAGAAACATCAGAGCCATTCTTCACAGCACTATACACCTGGTGCAGCACCACTAACATTTCATTCGCAAGAAATGGGCCATAATTCTGGGGGTAAAAGATGTCACTGCAAATAACATAATGGGATAAATTGGGTATAGCACATATACATATACACATATACATACAAGTGCACTTTAAATATCACACACAATATCAAGATGTGATTAATATTCTGAGAGAGAGAGAGTGAGTCACCTACCTTGTCTCCTGCTTTGTTTTATTGATTATCCTCTCTGGCAACATTGCAAGTGTGGTAACCAGGTCATCCCACATAACTGAATGTTGGTTTTCTTTGGTTCTGCTCTTGTCTGGGATGATCACACACTGGTTCCACAAAAGTACTCTTAGTTTATGTTGTTTGATGAATTCTTCAAGCAGGACAGCACATTTGTTTAGTTTGTAACCATGGCTATAAAAATTGAGTATCATGAGTACATATCTTTAGTCATACAGTGCGCATTAGACTTTTATACAACAAGAAACAAGCTTCACCAGAAATATCAGCAATTTTCCCAACCATTGACAACTTTACTATTTATCAACCTGTTTTCATGTTATAAATTTCTAATATTTACTATCACCTGGAAATTCACTTTTCTCTGTTTACATCATAAGAGTAATTCAAAAACTTAAAGCTTGAAACCTAATAAAGGGTTTAAGGCAGGGGCGGATTGAGGCCGTCTTCTGGGTCTTCCGGAAGACGATCAGATTTTCAAGTTTACATTGAAGGGTATCTATTTTTTTCTGTCAGAAGACAGTCAAAAATTGAGGATGGATTAACAAAGATAATTTGGAAGACTGTCAGAAAATATCTCTGGATCCGCCCCTGTAAGGATTGTAAATTTTGTAATGGTTTTGGATGTGGTTTGTCTTGGTGTTTAAAGGAAAAGTGAAATTCCCTAAAAATTCAACTTTTGCTACATCAGGTCTAAAGTACATTTGGTTTGCCAGCTTTGTGATACCTGAATAACTGACTCTTAAAATAGCAATCATCAGGAAACTATTACAAGAGTCAATAACATCTGCGAAAATTCCAAACATGCATTTATGAGAACATGCATAAAAAAACAGCCCCACCTCAGAGTTTGTATTGCACTTGTTAGGATCAGAAATGCTTCCTCTGGAATTCCATCCAGGAAGAATGTGTCAAAAAGTTCAGGAATCTTATCCTTTGGTAAATTAGAGAGCCAATCGACACTCAAACATTTCACCAGGAAGTCAAGAAATCTCACATAATGATTCTCTGCAAATTCTTCCTGAGCAGTTACTATATCTTCTTGTGACATATTCAACTTCCCTAGGGCATTCTCTCTCGCAGGTAGCAGGCACTGTATTCTCTGTAGATATTCCACACATTCACTTTCATTTTTAGGGTTTGCTATAATATTGTATGCCTCTCTTACAATCTGTCGAACAAATGGCCTGACATTTAATGTCATTTCTCCCATGTTTACAGGTCATCTGGAAAAGGGATTACAAGTATATTTGTAAGTCCAGTTGTAGAGAAGATGAATACCAAATTATGATAATTTTTACACTGTAGGCCAACTTTCCAAATCCATCCATTCAAGATGCTAAGTGTAAAATTATCCTGAGAACAAGTCATAATTAATTAAATTAATAAGTGTGGTATTTTTTTTAAAGTCTGGGCAAGAAGAAACAAAATATTCATGTCAACTTGCTTTTTCACATATTGTATATATTTGTGGACTACTGAGAAGTATTCCTTCACAAAGTTGTCTGTTTCACATTTATGTTACTTTGCTTGGGTAAAGTCTAGAATACTTAATTAAACTATGTGCTTATATTCAGATTCTATAAAAGTTGCATGATAAATTTCAAGTTGGCAATACGTATGTAGGGGCTGAAAATCATGGTCAACTTTTGACTCTTTTTTGAAAATGACATCTTGAAAAATTGGGAAACAAATCGCGTCACTAAAACGTAAATAACTTTCGTTCTAAATAAATTGGCTTAATATTTAAACGGTTGGTACATACCAGATATGTGGCTAGATATATAGCGAATATCAAATCGTTAGCATTAGCAGGAAACCAAAAATAAAACATATCGTGTACTTGGACCCTACCAAAATTATACTAATAACTTATAAGTCACTAATTTAATTGTAAATCACGTTTCACACAAAGCACATGAATGTTAAATATGCTTACATGAAGCCTTGTACTTACGCTAACATATTTCTTTATAGTCTTCAAATAGCGAATGAGTGCGTGGCTAAAATAATTGGTCGTATAATGTAAGAAACACACTTCCCATGTTTTGAAGTGGGCGCTGACATCTTGAATCGAAAACGAGGCTGCAAAAACGCGCATGCGTTGTTTTCCTTAGAGACAGGTTGCAAGACTTGAGTTTGCTATCAGTTTTTGAACAAATTACATCTTTTGATTCAATAATGGCAGAAGAAGGAGGGGAAAAAAAGGTGGTTGAGGTTGTGAAGCATACCTATCCGTTAATCAGAGTAAGTATAGAGTATTATTTTAGCAAAGTTATCCTGAAATATTATGTATAAATTGGGAACACAACACTCAGTTTCAACAGTGACTGGTTAAGTTATTGCTCTTTATTGCTAAAATAGTTAATATTAATATACTATCTGGTATACCTATTTACCGCAAAGACATTTCAACTTTTGAAGCGTTATTAGAGGATCAATAATTGCTAAAAAAAAAAACTCAAAAAGAAACTAAAACAGTGTTTTTAGATTTGTTGCTTGAATATAACTGGATTAACCTTTAGAATAACATGAAATGCTTTTGCATGGCATTTTATTATGATTTATGATACTATTTGTCATTTTACTGTTAAATACTTTCAGCACTCGGATATGCAAGATGAGATGAGAGTGGAGGCAATGGAGCTGTGTGTCACAGCATGTGAAAAATTTTCCACAAATAATGAGGTGTGTTGAGAAAGAAAGTGAGCATGGCTTTCCAGTAACACATGTAAACCAGGGGCGGATTTAGGCCGTCTTCTGGGTCTTCGGAAGACGGTCAGATTTTCAAGTTTACATTGATGGGTATATAATTTTTTCTGTCGGAAGACGGTCAAAAATGAAGGATGAATCAACAAAGATAATTTGGAAGACTGTCAGAAATTATCTTTGGGTCCGCCCCTGTAAACCACTACTATTAGTTTCTTATACCACTAAAAGAAATTCACCTTGCCAAGACATAAATGAAGTTAATCTCTTGTTCAGCAAACGTAGCTTTAAAACTACACCTTGTTCAATTTTTGTGCAATTTGCATACTTATTCCAATGAGAATGCTGAGGCGTTTTTATTGCACTGAAAGAAAGAAAATATCCCTTCAGATATCATTTTTCAGGAAATTATGAAACAGTGTACTTTGGTATTTCTCTTAGTTATGCTGTACATTGGGGTTGGTTGGTTTTTGTGGCATTTTGACTTAATATGCATCTTTAACCAGAAAGAGTTACACTCATGTTGGTTCAGGCCTGTGCAATGTTTTATCTGCTCTTCAGTGAATTAATGGCTTCATTTACTTTTTATGTACAGACACAGATGTGTCTGTACATATTGCCATCACCTGCGTCTGTCGTCGCCGATGGCGATGCCGTCACCGTGCACTTTCCTTGTAAACACGATAAGTGGAAGGCAGTTTTACTTTTTGGCTTTATATTTACAGAGCTGATGAATATTCATAAAACGCAGGTCAAGTTCGAAAATCAGCATGATCCGGCCATTTTTGTAGAAGTTATGCTGTTTTTTCACTTTTCAGCATATATGCAACCTTGTAAACACATTTTAAGGAAAACCGTTAGGCCTGTTGTCATGAAACTCACAGGAGTAATCAATCTTACTAAAACGCAGGTCAAGTTCGAAAATCAGCATGATCGGGCCACTATTTTAGTAGTTATGCGTTTTTTTCATTGTTCAGCATATATGCAACACTGTAAACACAATATAAGAAAAACAGAAAGCCCAATTGTCATTAAACTCACAGGAATGGTCAGTCTTACTAAAACGCAGGTTGAGTTCAAAAATCAGCATAATCGGGGCATTATTTTAGAAGTTATGCTGTTTTTTCACATTTCCTCAGATTTCCTCAGATTTAATTCTTGGGCATGTTAATAGCCTTATTATTTAAGTAATAAGATACATAAAAGCGTTTGTTNTATATTTACTCCAAGTCTTGACCAAAATAGTGTTATTTCGTGAGACTTGTTATAACAGCTAGTTTTTTCTGAATAGTTGGACAATGGCAGGGGAGGGTGTCGAGGACACTTTCAGAGAGAATGATAGCGAGTTGGGGGACTGGCAGCTAACGCTGGCATTTACGAGCCCTCGGCACATGGAGAAGATAGAAGGAACTAAATCTGTGACGCAGACATGGAGAATGAAAGAAAGGGTAGGACTGATGCATTTCTGCGGGAAAAATATTTAAAGGATGAAGGTTTTTTTTGTAATTGGTTTATGATATTTATCGCATGAAATTGCTGCCTACTACAGCATTATGTATATGAATTATATGGACCCACAACTGAAATTTGGACCTCAAAACTTTTTGAAGTGAAACAGTGAGTGAAGTTAAAACAACAGGATGTATGTGCATTTAAGTTAGGATCTAATAGGTTTCAACAGAAGTCCTTTTTCTTACTTATTCTACTGTATTCCATAAAGTATTGAAAAAAAAAAGAACATTTGATATGAATTACAGGTGGCATCAGCACTTCAGCTACAAAACTTTGTACTTATGTAGTATGCCCCCCCCCCTCCCGCTTCTTGCACATGTAAGGGGCCATTTAGAATAAGTTCCTTTGACCTAGCCAGGTCAACCTAACTCCATAGGGACTCTCGTTGAATGCAGTCAGATTAACAGACCAACATGCTTTCTTGAGAAGGAAGGGCAATGAACTTTTGAGCGTGCTTGACTGGATGCACTGCAGTTTTTGCTGAGACTGAAATTTCAAAAAGGCTGCTCTCTGGTGATTCCATGAGAAGGACTGACATTTTGTAGCTGTAACACAAGTTCAGAAACGGACTCCTTGCTTTGTCTCTGTACAGATGAGAAGTAATTTGCCTCTTTTCTATGCGCCATTTTACTTCAATTTGAGTGTGAACAGTGCACATGTGCATCATGGTAGTTTTCGGAAGGCAAGGGCACATGAAAGCCCTAGAGGGGGCGTGTTAGTCTGTTTAGCTGATTGCATCCAGCGAGTCCCCTTGGAGTCAGATTAACCTGGTTAGTTTACTCATTCTGAACTACCCTAAGTCTTTGATTTTACAGGTTTTTCTAAAGTCAAATATGTGGTGACTAAGATCAGTGTCTGCTATTCAAGTAAATTAGTAATAACAGATCACTTCAAAATAACTGAACTGACTAGTGTCTTTACTGTTAAAGGCCATTGTTAGTGTATATATTAAGGGCTCTATCACTGATATTACCCCCACTGTATAGAAATGCATGTCTGCACACACATACACACACACATACTGTACATTGGCAATTAATGAATTTTATTGTTAGAAAATAATGTTTTCACAACCTTACTATTTAAATATACTGCTCAATCTCATTGCAGATGAAGACTGTAAGTGTGGCCTTGGTGCTGTGCCTCAATGTTGGTGTGGACCCACCAGACACTGTGAAGACTACACCCTGTGCAAGACTGGAGTGCTGGATAGGTGGGTACATAGTGGAATTGTTTAGTTGGTAGTTATATACCCATTTTAATTATATATATATATATATATATATATATAT